CTGTCTTGTTCTCAATAGAGTCGGTCTCTTGTGGAATACAACCTGAATTCTGCCGTAACACCAGAGACATTGTATAACTTTTGGTGAACACGCTAGGAAAATTATTGGTGTTTCTGGTAAATTATGCACATTTCACAACCCTTTTTTATTATGAAAAGGTTAGTTAAGGAGTGCTTTGGAAGGTTCAGAATTCATTATGGGTATTTCCATTATTTCTTACGGGAAAAATAGTCTTGACTTACAAACTACTTGATTTTCTTTCAGTCACCTCTCATGAATGAATTGAGTTTGTAAGTCAAGGGTCCATTGTATTGATATTTCTTCTTCTGATAATTGTAGTTCAAGTCCTCTGTCTATGTTTTCTTTTCTGTTTTGTTTTTGTTTTTGAGATATGGTGTCACTATGTAGCCCAGGCTGGCCTCAAACTCACAGCTATCCTCATGCCTCAGCCTCCCGAATGCTGGGATTACAGGTGTGTGCCACTACACCTGGCTGTCCACATTTTCTTTTGAGGTGTTCATTTTAGTATGGTTGAAATTTTCAAGCAATGTGCATATTAAGATTCTTGACCTATTTAATAAGTGAACACATTATTTTATTACTATCTCAAATATGTATTTCTTTGGTTATAAGTGAGCCTAAACATTTTCCCACATTTGATTATCTGGTCTTTTGTGGACCTTGAACTCATGCTGTCTTGTCATATTCTCCAGATAGTTTTAAAATCTGGACAAATCACCCCATGTTTGGGATAGCCAAGATCAGCTTTGGCCTGGCCCTGGAGCTGGGCCTTGTCCTCACCATCTGGTTGCACCTGTCCTACCTGCCCAAACTGAAGAAATTGCATGCTCTCCGCTTGGTTGCCATCATTTTGAGCTTTTGTCAAGGTACGCCCTGACCCAGCTCTGAAAAAAGTCCTTAGTTTTCCTAACCCGTGGCTTCCAGGGCACTTCTCCCTTTTCCTCAGGGGCAGTATGGGGGTTTTGAAGTTTTAGGAGAAGAGAATTGAGAGTTGGATTACATCGTTTCCGCTCACTAGAGAGGTGGAGGTGGAGGTGGAGGGGTCGATTCCAGTGCAACTCTGAGGCCGCGGACTCCGTGTGGTCGTGGGAGTTGGGGTTGGTGGTTTTAGCTCAGAAAACAAGGAAGGGTCCCCTATGACAGAGACTCTTGGGTGAGAAAGACACTTCTCCACTTTCTCTCACCACTTTCTGTCTCCACTTCTCAGCCACCTTCATCTTCTTCACCCTCCTGTTGTTCGCTATTAACCTATGGACCTTTGAGTTGAGGAAGAATATATCCGTTCCCATTGGCTGGGGCTATTTCATTGGTTGGTTGGTATTTCTCCTGTATGTCACCTGTGGTGAGTAGCCAGGAGAGCCTGGGGGAAGGAGGAGACGTGGGTGGGTCAGGGCAGAGAAGGTGGGGAGGGGAGAGTCAGGTTCTTGGGGATTTATATTCCCTTTGGCTTTGCCTTGCTTGTCATGCACCATCACACTCTCCACTTCCCCTCCCCCACCTCTTGTCTTTTCCCAGGGGTCCTTTGCTACTTCAACTATAAAAATTTCTGGAATCCACTGCATCGTGTCTTTGGCAGCATGCCCTGTGCATCACTTCCTGCTCAGTGAGGGAACCTCTGAGTCAGCCTTCTACCTCAGACCTCTATCAACCTGGATGCTGAGCAGAAGGATCTATCTCTGTCATCAAGTGCTGTCCGTTCATCTAAATCTGTCCCCCTAGCCTCACCCAAAACCTTTGAACAGGTTGGATCTCATCACTGTGAGAAATGAGAAAAGAAGGATTTGGGGCCAATTTTGTACTCTTCTTCCTTGTTTCCACCTATAGCATGGATGGTGTGGAATAAATTGTCTGTCTCTTCTTTATCATTCTGGCAGTCATTGGGGCAAATTGGAGGAAGAGGAAGGGAAAAACAAGTTTATTTTTGGCTAGGAATATATTGGTGCCCCTTGGTCCCTAAGGCTGCCCAGTTTTCCCCATAGCATAGCTGTACATAGCCGAACACTTCCTGAGAGCTAAACCTCTACACTTTTAACCCATCCCAACATTTGCTAGCTAGAGGGCAGGAAGAAGTATAGTTGATTGGGAGAGAGATATCACTTTGGAACTTGTTGGCTTATTCACCATCAAGAAATCAAAAGCAAAATGGCCCCCAGGTGAGAGGCAGGTTAAACAATAGTAACACAGTAGGAAGTACGGCTGCACTGTGCAGGTAGTCAGCCCAGGTATGCCCTGGGAAGCAATCCCACCCTTTTGACAGGCTCAGATGACTGAGAACTCACAGAGCCCTGTGCCCTGGATACCCATGTCATCACTATTGCTTCCCTGCACCATTGTAGTCCTCCACTCAAGGCTCCCACATTTGCTACCCTACAAGAGCAGGAATGAAGTGTAATGAGAAAGAATAGCATCAGGATTTGTTTTTTTTTTTGTAACGGGAATCAAACTCAAGACCTTGTGCTTGCCAGGCAGGCACTGTGCCACTGAGCTATCTCCCTGGCCCAGCATCAGGATTAAATCCCAAGACCAACAGACAAGTTGCACATTTGAGTTATAAACTCAGTTTCACAAAGGTTCATAGTAGCCAGCTAGGACAGTGCTGGCAATACCAGTCAGGATTTGGACATCTTGCTGGATGTGGTGGGTATACCTGTAATTTCAGTACTTGGGAGGCTGAAGCAAGAGGATTGTTATGAGTTTAAGGCCAACCTGGTTTACAAAGTGAGTTCAAGACCAGCCTGAACTCCATAGTGCGACACTGTCTCAAAAAGACAAGACCAAAAAAAAGAAAAGAAAAGAAAAAGAAAAAAGGATTTGGACTTCTTGTCTAAAGAGGCTGGCCTACCAGGAGGGCACCAATGACTGATGTTTATCATGTCTATTCCTCCAGACAGAGACATGGTATCAGCAAACTACAAGACTGTAGAGACAAACTGTGGATGGGTTAAATATACTAAAATATATGTATTAAGTGGAACTAGATAACTAATGGATAAACAACGGAGTTTTAAATTTTTAATTAATTAATTATTGCAGTACTGGGGATTGAACCCAGAGCCTTTGCACTGAGCTACATACTCAACCTTTTAAAAAAAATATTCTGAGACAGGATCTTGCTAAGTCCCCAAGTTTCCCAGGCTGTTCTACAACTTGTGGGCTTTCTGTCTACCGTGAGGTGAGCAGCTTTCCGCAGGTCCTTCGCCATCCCTTTTCTGGCTTAGAGCCAGCCAACTATGTACTGAAACCTCTACAAACTATGAGTCAAAATAAAACCCCTCCTCTGTTAAGTTGCAGGTATTGGGTGTAGTGTCTCAGCAACAAGAAAGTGACTAAGATTTTAGTACCAAGTTATTTCTGTGATGCTACCTGACCATCTGATTCAGAAGCCTTTGCCACTGGTTCAAAGGAGGAGTTTGGCAAGGCTTGGAGATGCTGGCTAGAGAAACACTAGCATCCTGTAAGCCAAACTTGATGGGAGAGTTCTGTTCAGAATTTAGAAGATCAGAATGCTCATAAAAAAAAAAAAAAAAAGGCAGATGGAAAGGCCAAGCTCAGTAGGTTTCAGCTGGGAACAAGAAATCCATTGGCGGTTGGATTCCTTGTTCCAAGCCATGTGTCTTATGGTCTGGCAGAAAATTTATTTATATTTTGCTCATGTCCTGAGAGCTTTTGGGAGACTGAGATTAAAGGTGGGAGACTAATTAGCCTGGCAGAGAAAATTTCAGGACAGTTTGATGTTGAGGCTTGGCACGGGTACTGCTGCTGCTTTTAGCTAGATATACTGTGGGAAACAGGAGTGAAAGCCCTTTTAAAAAGTTTTCAGTCCTCCACCCCTACACCTTCCCACCCCTGGTACTGGGAATCGAACTCACGATGTTGTGCTTGCCAGGCAGGCGCTGTGCTGCTGAGCTAAATCCCCAGCCCCAAGTTTTCAGTTTTTCCAGAAAGAAAGTACCAGTAAAGAGGGAGAAGAGAGCTTGGTTGCTGAAAAGATAAGCATTTTGAAAAAGGTAAGTTCTTTGGATCAGGACAATAGGAAAAATGGCTTGAGGGCATTTAAGGAATCTGAGAGATTCCACCCACCACAGGCTCAAGGGTGCAAAGCTTTAAAGTTTTCATTTGAGAAGAAAGTCTTGGGGCTCTATACTCCAGAAGGGCTCCCTAACAAACTAGTTCCCTGGGATTCAATTCACAATACTTGGCCCTGATGCGAAAGGGCCTGGGTACTACTGGAGCTGGTGACAGACCTTGGCACCATCTATGTTGTGCTGACTTGGTGGACATGCAGAAGGCAAGAGCTGTGACGTGACAGAGGCCTCCACTTAGATGTCAGAAGAAGGCCTGGAAGGCCAAGCAGGGTGTCCCTGAGAGGGCAGTGTGTGAAGCTATGAGAGCGAAACCAGAACTGCAGTGGAGACCCCATGAATTTGAGAAGGAAGTAATATAGAACATTTGAGGAAAGTGGAAAGCAGTGGGCCAGTCTGAGAGAGAAGCCATTAGGATTGCAGCAGGCAAAGGCACAGGGGTGGGGCTGCCAAGCCACTTGGAGTTTGCATTTTTTTCAAAGCAAATGATTTTTACTGGTACATTTTAGGTGTACATAATGATCATATTCATCATAGGGAATTTGTACTGGTACATGATATAACTTGATTATTTTCCCCCCATTTCCCTACCCTCTCTTCAACTCCTCTTCCTCTCCTTATTTACAAAAGCTTTGTTTCCACTTTTTACTTCTTTTTGCATTTTTTTACTTTTCCTTTCCTTCCCCTCCCTCCATCCCTAGTTCCCCTTCCCATGTGAACATTTTCTTATTTCACAATACATATTATACATTTTGATTTTTATTTACACTTTCAGTTTCTCACACCAGAGAAACAATGTGGTATTTATACATGCCTGTCCAATTTATTTTACTTAATAGTATGGCCTCAAGGTACATCCATTTACCTAGAAATGTCTCAAGCTTATTCTTCTCTATGGCAGAGTAGTACTCCATTATATAAAAAACCCCCACATCTTCTTTATCCATTCACTAGTTGATGGACATTTGGGCTGTTTTCAAGATTTAGCTATTATAAACTGTGTCACTATAAACATGGGTATGCGTATATCACTGTTGTATGATGCTTTTAATTCTCTTTGGAAGATACCAAGAAGGGGAATAGCTGGGTCAAATGGGCCCTCCAGCCCCAGGTTTTTGAGGAACTGCTACACTGATTTCCACAGTGGTTGCACTAGTCTACATTACACCAACAGTGGAGAAGTGTTTCCTTTTCCCCACAGCCTTGTCAGCATTTATTATTGGGTAATTTCTTGATGATAGCCATTCTTTCTGGAATGAGATAGAATCTCAGCATTGTTTTAATTTGCATTTCACAAATGAACAATGATGCTGACAATTATTTAATGTATTTATTTGTCATTTTTATTTCTTCATCTGGGAAGTGTCTATTCATTTCAAATGGATTGGGTCTTTAAACTGGGAGAGGAGCTGATTTTTTTTTTT